AGCCCGTATGGAAAGCAGTGTGGAGAACTCTTAAAAAACTACAAATAAACCTACCATTTGACCCAGTTATACCACTCTTTGGCATATATCCAAAGAACACATCCTATTGCAGAGACACTTGTACATCCATGTTTGTTGCAACTCTTTTCACAATAACTAAGAGATGGAAGCAACCTAAATGTCCCTCATTTGACGAGTGGATAATGAAAATGTGGTTCATTTATAGATGGAGTTTTACTCAGCAGTAAAGAAAGATGAAATCATGAAATTTGCAGATAAATGGATGGAACTAGAAACTGTTATACTAAGTGAAGTAACACAGGCTCAGAAGAACAAGCAACATGTGTTTCCTTTCATTTGTATATTTTAGTTCCAAATCCCGGATCATAGGAGATGGGTATTATTAAGGGAGAAAGGGAGGAAATGGGGGCACCTTAAGTGGGAAAACAATGATAGAGGGGTGAGACAATGTGAGAGATAAATAATGCCTGCCTACTTTCAAAAACCAGAGGGAACCATATTACTCCTACAACCTGCTGACAAATTATACATAGCAGATCAAGAAACATATGTCTAGGTAAGGTTTATCTGAGAACAATTGGCCTTTACCCAAGATTTATCTACATGACACACAGTAATTAAAAGTACAAGACTGGTGTAACTAACCTTCTTGGATGTTTAACAGACATATTTTGAGCCTTATAATAATTTGGTCAGAGGGACATAAAGGACAGTTTTTGCTCCTTGCCCTCCTAGGTCGACCAGTTCCAGGGGACTATGAGCATCTCTCAAAACGTTCTTTAATTGTGGTGAGTCAGCTGGCTTCTTGATCAAGGAGGCCAAGGAGACCCCACCTGGTTCAAGATGGACTTGAACCAGTGTGCAGTCTACAAAGAGGAGGGTCAACACAGAGAATCATTTCCTCCATGCTTCCAAGCAAGGCCAACCATGATTGAGAAGGGCTTTTGACTCATCTTCACATAGGCGGAACTGGTAAAAGAAATGAGCCAGGGGCTCCTCCCAAGCTCATGTGACCCCTGAGGAACAGATCCTCAAACAGCCTTAAGAGGAAACGTAAATTGATTTATCTGGGCCAACAATATGGCCTTAAACACCCAAACGGAAATTATAACCAAAGATTAAAGGGGCCAATATAATTTTTTAAGAGTCCATATGCATAGCTAAAGGCTACATATCAAGCTACAATGCCAGATAGGAGATACCTTCTTTTGAGATGTGGACCAGGGTGGCCAAAGGGACTCCCAGCTACTAACCCAGCATAGAACTGCGGAAGTCAACAGCAGACCCAATCTTATCTAAAGGAATATTGACAACTGATTGCAGCTAGATGAGGAACAGCTGACCTTCCTAAAACAAAGACCTCTAGATAGGCTGACTAGATTCACCAGATGGACAAGTAGTGGGGAATGGCTGGGGTGCCAACAACACAGGAGACAGTATCAAGGATATCAGAATATAAGGGCTCTAGTAGGGGGAGGGAGGCTATGGGAGGGTGCCAATT